TTCAAAGAATTTTCGTTTAAAAAACTCAATTTCAAAGTGAACAATGGTAACACTGTATGAAAAAAAAAAAAAAAAAAAAAAAAAAACATTTTTATCACCAGCGCGTGAGACTGTGTATCAGAAATTCTAAAGATATGCTCATTTTAAAATTATTTTGCAATATTGCTATTGAATCCAATTTTATGGTTTAAGTGCAAAGAACGTGATATTTAATAAATAAAGGTAACACAAATGTTAAAAAAAAAGCCCCTTTGGGCATAATTTAAAATTCAGATTTTTTTTTTTAAACTTTTAGGATGTTTTACTCCCTCCAATTAAACAGATGTATTACATTCTGATCAGTTACACAGTTTTGTTGCTTTAAACATGTCTTTTCACTATCATTTGCAGGAAAATTGTTATTGATATGACAGAAGAGTACTATTTACAGTTCTTGTTCCAATGGAAATTAAAATTCTGATACTTTCTAGTTAGTGGCACAGCAGTTGTAAAACACAAATATTGGCTCAAAATATAGCCTGAAATCGCAACAGCAATCCTAACGATACTTTCAAATGATGAATATAATCATGTATGTGTATCTTAAAAAAAAAAATTCTGTTTCTTTTAAGTGAATGTCTTCAAACCAAGTTTGGTGTCATTTTTATATTCAGTTGGCATGATAGATGGCTGTGGTGCTATTTTGGTCATTCTAAAGCAGGGTTTCTTAAACTGTCAGTTGCAACCCCCAAGGGAGTCACGGGACCTGCAGCAGGGGGGTCACGAAAAATTTTAGCAGTTTTGACTTATTATAATAATTTTACAAGGACCTATATTTTTATATAGCATATCTGAAAATAGGTAAAGATAAGACAATACAGACAACGAAAAAAACGAAAACATTTCGACACATTCTTTTTATAAGATTAACGTTCATTTTCCTTGCTTAGCAAGTGATGCTGCCATTTTGTCTGTTACTTATTTAAAATTTTCACATTGTTCTATGTCTTAACAGTAGAAATTAAAGTTAATGACCTAAAACTGCAATAGTATATTACAGTACAAGTGAAAAAATTGACAGTTTCATGCGTGTGTCAGATTTGCGCAATACTTATGGGGTCTCACAAAATTTTTGCAAATATAATGGGGTCCTGCCGGGTCGCGAAAAAAATCTCAGTGATAAAAGGGGGTCGCGACTGAAAAAAGTTTAAGAAACCCTGTTCTAAAGCATAAATTTATCTTCTGGTTAATTGAACAAAATCTTTCACTATGAATAATTCCATTTTTCTAACAGAATGCAATTGCCAAATTTTAAAATCCATTTTGATTTCTCAATCAAAATATTGTACACCCACATGAAATAAATAAAAGTATCTGTATCAAGCCATCATGACGCATGTTGGGCTTTGTGGCTTCTGGTTGAAGTTGTATGATTACACCATGGAGGTAGGAAGTAAGATCAAGTGACCCTAACTGGTTTCCTCCATACCCTGCTCTGAAGTACTGGCGATCCCTACATGGTGACCAAAACATTTGGTAATTTTCCATTAAGTTCAATGGGTTTTGAGAGGATCGGATGTAAATATTTTGTAATTACGTTATAAATATATATATATTTTTTTTTCTACAGTACTTCAGAGTCCTAAGTATATGAAAAGAATGTGTTTTTAAACAACATTTTATTCTGAACGGAATTAAATGCTATACTTTTCACAGAACAGTTTGTTCAGAATGGTTTAATTTGAATGAAATATTTTCACAAGTTTTCGTTAATTACATTTAAAAAAATTTAAGGTAATTCGATTTTATTCGGTTAAGGATTACAAAAATTAAGATAAAAAGTTTATTGTGTTATTAATATTAAAATTATGCTTTATTTCTTTTCTATTTATGGAGCTTCTTCCTAAAATACTTTCTCAAATATGACATATTTTAGCTTCTGAGGCTTTTAAATGGAAAACTATAAGTCAATTTATAATTAATGCTCTATTTGGTCCACTTCCAAACAGAGCACCTTTTATTTTAATAGCGAAATACTTTAAATAATACTTAACTTTCTTTCTAAAATATATTTCTGAATATTTCTGAAAGAGAATAAAATAAGGATTTTTTAAGAATATTATTTAAAACTTGTAACTGAGTTATAAAATGTAAGGGGAATAATTCTTTTAATTATACTTATCAGATTTTTTTATCCATAATTTCAACAATGCGTATTCCAAAACTCTTCTTTATTACTTACTTAAGTATGCATCTCATAGAATTTGTTTTACAATACCTTTTAACAGATTGCTTTCCAGTACTAACAATTCTTGCTTAAATAGTTTTATAATGCCTTTGTCAACAGGATTTCAATTTATGTTTACAATTCAGTGCTAAGTTTATTATATATTTAGATAACATTTATAATCATTATAAATTTAGATATATTAATCATTAGATTTCTTCACAGTAACTTTTACTTGTTTTATAAGTGAATAAACCCTTCATTTCAAATACATTTATAAATAATTTAATGAATATTTAAGTATTTTGTCAAAGGCAGATACATGCTTTTTGCAAGCACATGCATAAATACCCATACATATTTCCTATTTTTCATTTCCGGCATGTGCAAATCTTTAATTTCTGTGCATTCACTATATTTTTCGTGTAAAGTAATTTACACTAATTTAGCATACACCCGAAAGGTTTTACATAAAAATACATATGAATATAATTTGAATGAAAATTAGATGCAATATTTTTAATACCCACTCAAAGGTAAGTTTTCCTTGAAAATTCCTTCACGATGGCATCTCTCCCTTTAGGCAGATAGCCCTTGCATGCCTTCTGTTTAATAAAAACTTTACCTGACCGATGTGCCTAATTACCAATATTTTAACAAGCATAATTTTATATTTACATTTAGCCATCAAGTTTCAAACTTTTGACTTAACACACATTTTAGGATACATTCATCATCAAATTCAAATCTTCTAGTAAATATATTTTGGCAGAGGACTCAATACCTCTTTAATCGATTTTACACAGTTTAATAATTCTCTGATAATATAATAAATAATACTAAATAAACGTGTAAGTTATTTTTCAGATATATAAAAATAAAATGATGAGTTTAAAATGAGCAACAGTAAATCCTCTACTCTAAAAAATTTTAAAGAGTACATGTTACAATAATAAGTGGATTTGAAAAAAATTATTTTATTTAAAACATTTTGGCATTTGAAACATAAAATAAAAGTAGCGAATACTCTATCAAGGGTATCGAAAGATGTATACAATTTTAAAGGTACCGTAAGGTATTTTTCATTCTTTAAGCATAACATTTTTGCTAAAATTAAGACACAATAACACGCTGAATAAATACTAATTCAGAAGTCAAACAACAAAAATCAGCGTTGTATTCACAAAATTTTTTCACAGGACTAGTTTCGATGGTTTTACCGAACCATCATCTTCAGCTGCAAAACCGCAAATGAAAATACAACTTCTGCATCTCAGTTCGAGGTGACCATACACTGTATTAAAGAAAAAGTTTTTCAGAAAGAGGTGACTTAATTTTACATCATTTTTTCAGTTGCCACAAATTTGGCTTTAATTTCAATACTTTGCAAATAATGAACTGCTAAACATTGTAATTTAGGTCAACTAATGCTTATGTACAAATTTCTATTAGTAATAATTTTTCATTAAGTATCAGTTATGTTTTTTTTTGTCATTATACTTTAATTTTGATGATCAGTGTATATGTAATTAATATGTTGGTTGCACATTAATCATATATAATTCTTACAACTTTGTTAGGTGTACTGTATAGATTTGTTGAGCAATATGTATATATACCAAACATTTTGCAACTGGTAATTAAATTCTGCTATGAGTACCATTCAAATACTGTTCTTATATTAATAATATTTCCAAATCATCTGTTTTGCATGAGTGAGTTGTTCTGAGCTTTAATCTACATGTTCAGATGAAAAATATGAATTCAGAAAAGCTCTTTAATCAGCGGTTAGGTGTATTAATATGGAATGTGTTCGAATGCTAGATCCATTAGTAACGTGTTTAGATTTATGTACATCTTAAGAGAATAATCTGTTGCTTATAGGACAGAAATGCTGCAAAATGTAGGTCAGCTCCAGTTGTAAAATTAGGGAGGGGGGATTCAAAATTGACTACATAAGCTGTTTTCCACTTTCTAATAGAAAATTTTTTGTGCTTGAATTTTAGTTTTTGTTGTTTGGAAATTTATATGAAGATTTTAAATAGATAAGTAATAGCAAGCAAATAATTATTGCTTCTGTATCACAACAAAAGTTATCAACTATTTTATTTTTATAACAGTAATCGCTATCTGTTACAAAGTAGTATAGTTTTTAACTACTAGTTCATATGAAAATTAATACTCACTTTTGTATGTCTCCATACTCATGTGTTTAAGTTGTTACAAAAAGCATAGAAGGATTATCTGCTTAAAGAGAGAAATGCCTTCATGAAGGTCTTCATGTTCATATTATACACTGGGAAAAAGGTCATTTCTAATGTATAGAAATGCAAAGAATCTCAGCTGTAATACTGTAATTTTCTTTTTAGGCTTAACTTATTTTACTTGAAATTGCCATAGTGGCTTAATTAATGGTGGTTCTGTGCTAGTTAAATCAGCTTGCTGAAAATATTAGCTATTTTTTAGCTATTATTTTGCATATTGTTTTCTAACTACTTGTGTGAAATTTGTCTTTTTTAATTAACACTATTGTAAAATTTTGGCATGGGGAAATATCTTTTCGGCATAGTAACACGGGCACTATATCAAGAAAAGTTCATCAGTATATATTGCCATTGACTGGCTAGTGCATTTAATTTACATTAAAGCAGTAATATTTAAAAATGTACTTGAATTTTACTATTCATCTCTTACTTCAAAGAATAGATATCTGTAAGTAGCAATTTAAAGGTATGTTGATTTAAAAAAATGAATTAGTTCTTTTGAATGTTGTTTTATCTCTAATCAATTTTAGGGTTTAGAAGAAACTGCAAGAGGAAAGTTTGAAGGTGGTGATGCCTCATGGGAAGAAAGTCGATTAAAAGCATATTCTGATAGGTAACATCCCGCTTGACTGGCATTTTTTTCTTGAGAAATTTTAACATAAGTTTGCCGTAAAATATAGCTTTTAGTAATCTATGATACAGAGCACATGTATCATGGCAAAATTTTAATTAAAAACTGTAATTAGTAGTTTAATATATAAGGTATTTCTCCCACTTTCCTAACGTGCCTTTGAGGTGTAGTGGTTCTGCACGCTGGGCCGGTATTCCAGAGGTCCGTGGTTCGATTCCCAGCGAAGGCGGTTGCTAATTTTTCATCTCTTCGGCTTCCAAAAAATCCTAATGTCTCTACAGTGGCGCCCAAACTAAAAGGGTTGTGGATGATGACTTTCCACACCTGGGATTTGGCGATTGGGTCCTCTAAAAACCCCAGTCGCCCTTTAAAAGGAGCAGTATATAAGATACTTCTCACACTTCCGTAACGTGCCTTCGTGGTGTAGTGGTCCTGCACGCTGGGCCGGTATTCCAGAGGTCCGTGGTTTGATTCCCAGCGAAGGCGGTTGATAATTTTTCATCTCTTCAGCTTCCAAAAAATCCTAATGTCTCTACAAATAGTTAAAATTGTTGTTGTCATTTTTCTAATATTTCAAATGTTTAACAGAAAAATCTTTGAGGTCAGCCGTGCTCCAGCATTTTTGGTGCCTAGGTGATCAGTATATTTGGTGCCTGTTATAAATTAAATATATTAATAATTCATAGCAAAATATAAGTTTATTTTAGTTTTTTTATTATAAGAACAATCTGCAAAACCTACTGTTTTAGGTAATTGTCTGTGTTACCTATTTGGCACTACATGAGTTATCCTTTTGTGTATGATTCTCCTCCTACTTGCATGGTTTATTGAAGATAATGTTATTACTATATGGTGATGATTTTATTTGGCCATCCAATTCTGATAATGTCATGCTGGAAATAAATAAATTATTTGCATTATTAAGAAGAAGGTTAAAGCTCAAGATGAACCTGCAAAGACCTTTTCTAGTTGTTTATATTAAATGCGTAGGTGCTACTATTTGCATGTTATACAGTAAAAAGTCTGAGATACAGAATCGTTGGGGCTTCAGCAATTCCAGAGTTTGGAAATTTCTGGATTTTAAATCAGTAGTTTAAATCTAGTAAAATTTTAGATAATATTTGTATTTGTATATTGATTTTCAGTCCCTATTTTTTCGTTCTTTTCTGTGGTACCTCTGAAAGAAATTAGAAGTCTTTTCAAAATGTAGTTATTAAGTTATAATTGTCTATTTCCTAGTTTCAATTAAATGCTCTTTTTCATTTTAAAATGTATACATGTAGTTATCGTAATGTTTTATAAAGTTAAAACTGGTAATAATTTCCTTTTTTAAAATTTTGGGTAGCTTTAAAAATTAATTTTTATTTCCATCACAGTACAAAAATTGTGTTTTTAAAATAATATTTGATATTTCTTTATAATTAATACTGTAAAATTTGTTTTTAATGTCTGATATATCAGTTTTAATTTCATTGTATTTGCATCCCAATCTTAATTATTATTAACTTTATTATTTTATTAGTTTAAGAAAATATAAACTTAGAAGCTGTATAATAGTGTTGTGGTGATAGGATATTGAACATCCAGTTGAAGTTTACAGCATATGTGATTCATGTTTTGTTCATATTATGTAATATATGTTTTTAATTTACAAATGCCCTCTGCTATGAAATATTCTAGATACAGAATAAAAATAAAGGTGAACCTTGATTTATACAGGTTTAAATTGTGCAAGTCCACTTTAATATGAATTTTTTACAGTGAAAATATTGGAAAATTATTTTGAAATTTAATTATATGAAAAAATTAGCTGACAAACCATGTAGCTTCCAAGTATGGGATGGTAATTAATTATTATTGTTATTTCATCACACAGTCCACTTTCATTGTGCTCTGCATTTGAAATGCTCATGTATTGTATACAGTTTTTATGAAATAAAATTTACATTGTTTTCTTCTTAAAATACAAATTTAGAGAATTACTTTCAAATTTTGTTAGTATTTTAGTATTATTAATAAAGTTTTCCTCTCCAACTAGTGAAATTAGACTTGTTGAGATACAAGAAAAATTATGCTCTCATGAAGCAAAGGCAGCAGAACAAGTAAGTGATGCATGTATCTAACTATAAACTGGCAATAAAGTTATATTGTTAAACTTTTATACAAATTATTGGTAGTAGAAATGTAAAGGATTAATCTTTGATCATAGATCAAGATAGTGAATTTTACATTCATGGAATAAAATAATGAGTAATACTCGCAGCAAGAAATATGCAGTAAATGCAAAATAACATGAGAATGCTAGTTATATCTTTGCTGCTTTACTTTTTAATTATTTTGTAGCCTGTGATGCATTAAAAAAATTATGTGGGCAAATACACTGAAGAGTCAAAACATTATGACCACCTACTCTATAATGTATTGCATAACATATGGCCTGCAAAACAACTGCAACTTGACTTGGCTTGGATGCCACAAGCTCTTTGTAGATGACTGCAGACAGGTTGCACTAAATGTCTAAGCAGCGATCACGCAAAGTTGAGATATTCTGACATAGTGGTGTTTGAGCTCTGAGCTGCCACTTCATGACATCCCAAATGTGCTGTATCGGGTTAAGATCCAGTGAGTTAGAAGGTTAGGACATTAATTAGAATTCATCCTTATGCTCCTCGAACCACTCCAACACAATTCAAACCTTGTGACATGGGGCGTCGTCCTGCTCGAAGATTCCATTTCCAGTTGGGAAAACAGATGCCATGTAAGCGTGCAGCTGATCCACAGTTATGTTCAGATAGTCCATAGTTTTCATGATCTGTTCTATCACAAGTAAGGGTCCCAGTTCCGCCCATGAGAACATTCCCCAAAGCATACCATCACCACCAGCCTGTGTATGACCTACTGTACAGGGGGAGCAACTGTTTGCCTGAAAAAGAAAGCATACTCTGACACAACCATCGATGTGATGAATGAGAAATTGTGAGTTATTTGACTAGGCAACTGTCTTACACTTATCACTGATCCAATTTTGATGTTCCCGGAGCCAGTGTAGGAGTAGTTGACAATAATGCTTGGTCAATTGATGCACAGGATTGGGACATCTGCTGCACAGTCCTGTACCCAAAAGTGTCCACCAAACTGTGTGTTCCGAAATATTTGGACTTGGACCTACATTGTATTGGGCTGTCAGCTGAGGGACTGTCTGATTCCGATTTTGCTGTACCAAGCGGAGCAATATCCGACATTCTTTTTCTTTGATGATGCATGGACATCCAACACCTTGGCATCTGCTGCTGGTTTCACCATCATTTATCCATTTTGCATAAATACTAGCAATAGCAGATCATGAGCAACCTACCAGTTATTACAGTTTTGGAGATACTTGTTCCGAGTCTTCGAGTCATTACAGTTCGCCCTTCGAGTCATTACAGTTCAAATTTGCTAAGATCAGTAGCCTTTCCCATGAGTCAACGTGCAAGAATGATTTCTCATAGCTGTGAAATACCATTTTCACTTAATTATCTGCCCTCGATGTCATCCAGATGAGTTCATTGAAAAATGTGGGAATAGTCGTAATGTTTTGGATCATCAGTGTATGTGTGCGGATTTTTATTATTTAGATGAATAAACTTTTGTTCTTTCTGTTCAGTTTATATTTTATTGGTATTGAAAGGGAATTCTTATCAAGTTACATTTTATTACAGTAAAACATTGATTTTTATTGTTTCAAAAAAGAACTTGCCTTGCTTTCTGAATCTGGAAGTAGTATTCCATTGATGGAAAATTTTGCTGTAATTTACTTTTTAGTGTCATCGCTTAGCTGAAGAGCATGAATCTCTTATTGAAGAGTGGTGGTTCAAAGAAAGGAGCTCTTTTCCAGATATCTTTTATTTCCTATGCATTGATAAACTTCAAGGTAAAAAGCTTTTCTTAATGAAGTTCTACAGACTGTGCATGTTTAAATTTTTTTGCTCATATATATATATTAGTCATATTACTCTTGTTACTTAAGAAATTCTTTGAAACAGCTATTAAAAATACATATGAGAAAATGAGATTTATTAAATAGAAATTGTTTTGAAAATTGGAGTTTTGTCGAGGTTGTGATGTTTTTACCTAGGATGAGCTATAAAGTTTAATTCAACAGTGTTAATATTCTTATGTAAACCAGTGTTTTCCAAAGTGGGGGCGTACGCCCACAGGGTGGCAATTCGAAAATGGGCTCATCTAGGGTTTAAGTTAAATGTATGGTGACTCTCAGTTGCTACTCGAGCTGGGTAAACTTACAGTATAAGTCACTTCGATCTCCATGTTAATAGTCATGATTTCAATGTTAGGTGTTAGAGTTCAACTGCTGATTATACTGGGTCGGCACTAAGTATTTCAAGCTATTTGTTCTGAATGGCGCAAAATGCTTAGTGCGGGGATCCCTGCTGTGTCTTGCAGCAATGCTCAGCATTCACTATTGATGTTAATTTGAAATAAGCATTTGTTAAATTGTTGTAAAAGTCTCGTTATTTAAAAAAGTATACATACTATAAATAAATATAAGTGATATATAAATGGCGTGTTAATTCAGTTGGTAATTTTTATTAATTTCAATTTTAGAAGCATCATTTTCCAGAAGAATTTGTCTGGTGTAAAAGTATGTTTTTTTATGGTGGGGTAAATGAGCCTTACATATTTAAATATGCATTTTTAGTCTACGTGTACTCCAGTTCATATTATATTTTTTAGTTTTTAATTGAGGGGGCATTAGAATTTTAGAAAGGCTTAGGTTGGGCATAGCACAAAAAGGCTGGGAAACATTGATGTAAACATTCTCATGTATGAGAGCCAGATTAAAGGTTTTTCCTCTTCAAAATTAAAGTGACATTGTCATCACACATCTTGGGTATCTGTTATTCGTATGTGCACTGAAAAATCTCCTCTTGTTACTGTATATGATATTCTAATGGCAGCGTATTATTGAAATATCTTAAAATTAGCCAACACTTTAATGACTGCCTTAGAAATGCAAATCAGATTTCAGCCATTTTTAACCCCTTAGTCATTTTGCATGTGTTTCATATATATGGGCAGCTGATTTAAATAAGTGTTACTGTGCTCATATCTCACACGGTTTGTGCTTTGGCAATTAAGCATGAGAATTCCAATTTTCATCATGCCAATATCTCTCACGGCTTGTGCTTTGACAATAAAAAGTCATGGGAATTCCAATTTTCATTATGCTCATATCAATTTTATTTACACAGCTACTTCACACATGTTAGCACAGTAGTTGTAATTTGACTGTGCAACATTAGTATGTAGATGTTGAATACTTTTTCCATTAGAACATGTTTTGAAAGGATTCAGTTTCAGTGCTGATCATTTTTTTTTTTTTTTTTTGCTTTTAGTATTTGTAAAATGAGTAGCTCAAGTGAACAAGAGGATTTAAGTCTTGAATCAGAAAATGATTCAGAAGGCAGCTTTCTACGGATGTTATTGGTTCTGAAGCATCAGAATTTAAAGCTAGTGAAAACAGTAGCAATCCCATGCAACTTAACCAGGGTGCCAGTAGAACAAAGCTGTATGTCCCAGATATTTGTCCTCCATGTTTTAAACTCAGATTATTGTCTAAAGTTAATATTTCAAGCCAATTCAGGCATTTCACAATATTATGAGCATTTTATTAGTAATGATGTAGTAATTATAATTGTAAAAAAGTAATTGTTATGCTGCAAAGTGGCTAGCGTGTCACACAGCTGCACCACAGGTCCAGGGTTTGATCTTCGGACTGAGCAAAGTTGACTTAGACTCATCCCTTGAGTGGGTCGATAAAATGAGTACCAATTTTGCTTGGAGATTCCTGCGACATGCTGACCACTTGTCCAAGGTATATGCTGATACACTCTGTGGCCCAAGGTCAAGAAAGTAGATTTCAGGTCACTGCAAGCTGTGGCCCACTAGGGCTGTTATACCACTGAGTTTAATTGTTATGCTGAGTAATCAGGAAATGCTGTTGGTAAACCAAAACTGAAAAGGAGAAAAGAATGCAAACCTGTATCACCACATATATACATATGTTCCATGCACTTTTAGCTTTACAAAATATCTGAAGAAAGCATGTGTTGGACAAAGAAAACATCAGTAGAACCTCCTTTTTTCCATAAGATTGTATAATCGATGCTCCGAAATTAAACAAATCCTTGCATTTTGTGAACAATTGATTCTCAAGATCCAGTAAGTCATCCTAACCCAAAACTATCAAATTTGGCCTGTCTATGTGCATTTGAATAAAGTATATCAAACAGCAATTACCCCTGAAAGAGATATTACCACAGATGAATCTTTGATATTATTCAAAGGATGTTTATCCTGGCGCCAATATATACCCTTGAAAAAAGCAAAATTTGGTATGAAAGCAAATGCTAAGTGAAACTAGTTCTGGTTATGTTTGATCATTTATTATACATACTGGAAATGTTACTTCATCCTAAATTCAACAGTGTTCTTCAATTAACCGTGCAGTAGTTCAAAAATATGGATAGATAGATCGGTACCTTCACAAGCTGTTATGACTTTGATATTTGCCATTATTGAAACAAGGCTACTGCATCACTCTAGATAATTATTATACTTCATCAGAATTATGTGATATCCTTTTGAGTTATTAAACAGATGTGGTTGGAACTGTAAGACAAAATAAAAAGGATTTTCTTTTAAAACTCTAAAATAAAAAGTCTGATGTGTACACTACATGACTTCCTTGAACAGAATATTAAATTATATACAATTTTCCTGCATTTCATTAAAACATATTGAATAACAGTTAACGAATTTTGAATTAAATCTACTTTGTGGATAGTACATAAACCACAATAGAATAAATGCACTCTTTAAAGTTCACTATATTTATTTACCGTAGCGACACTTTGGCTCTAGGTTCACTTAACAGCATTACATCTCATTCATTTTATAACTCGGAGTGCATTAAAATTATATCATCTGAAGAATTATCACAAGTTCTATTCAATAAATTATAATAAATCTATTTATAATAAATCTAAAATGATGTATAAAAGAAATTAAACAAATAACAAAGAAACAGTTTTTCGCAAATGATTCAGCGCCACTTACCTAATGCACATGCACTACTAATTAATTCAGTTCTCACTTCACGAGAAGGCAAAAATACATAAAAATTCAAAATATTTTCATTAAAGTGTGAAAGGTATAGAAAAACACAAAACACAAAAGTACAGTTAAAACAATTTTTACAATTAAAATTACAGTTTCTACACAAAAGCAAGCTAATAACTTAAATGATAATTCCAGAAGGAATTAAGCATGATTTAATTCACAATAATAATAGAAGACGTTACTTTGTTGTTGCGAAGCTTAGTTTCTGTAGATTGGCATCAAATCCAATTATCTGTTTAAGTTTAAAATGTAAACAAACATGCTGCCATGGTAATCAAAAATTAGTCTTAACCGCACTTTAAAAAATTCTAAATTGCTGATAAACCCGCAACTATTGCATGCAGGTTAACTAAAGGCATGAAAATCTTAAGCAGAACAACATAATTCAATCATTTTTAAAGCAAAAAAATGCACAATTTACAAACATTATAAGAATAAAGAAACTGAGCTCACTGAGCTGTGTAACAGAGTAGATATATATATATATATATTTATGTACTTTTAGTGTGGCCGATTGCAACCAAAATAGGAGGTGCACATCTACATGTTATAGCAGTCCTATATACAAAATTTCAAAGTTCTGAGGCTACTCGTGTTTGAGTTATGCGAGATATGTACGTACATACACACAGATAACATGAACAATTCTCTTCAGAATTAATTTTAAATCAGTTTTATAATTTTTTTTTTTTGGGGGGGGAAGAGTTCTTTATTCTGTCCTTTTGTACAGATGTCACACAAAACATCATTAAATTGCATTCAATAGTTATCAAAATGGATATTTTTGTTGAAATATGATACCTGAAATTTTTTCGCGATTACAGTATTTCCTTTTTACTTCGTACAAGGAAAGTAAACAATTAAAATCTGATGAAGTTATATTGTTTAGATAAGGAAAAATCCTCACTCTGAAATGGAAGGACAAAAAGAAAGTAACGATGTTATGATCATCTCATGATTATGGGACTATTGAGGTAAAGACTTACTGTAAAAAGTTGAAAACAAAACCAAAGGTCGTAATGAACTACAATTAAACAATGGAACCTGTTGATCTTGTAGATCAGTATCTTTTGGTTATCAAGGAGCAAGAAATGATGAGAAAAATATTATTAAAAAAAGATTCTTTCCTCTTTTAAAATAAGCTTTTTTCAATGCTTTTCGAGTTTATAAAAAAAGGTGGAAAAAATCACATTTAAAATTTAGACCGGATTTAATCTATGAAATAATTGATAAATATATTTCTTTTATCCATTTTTCAAGACGAGGTTGTCCATCAAATGAAGCGCCATCAAGTCATTTATTTGAATGCCATTTTTTCAAATTTACACCACCTATGAAAAAAAAAAAGAAAGCCATGCCAAGAAAACCCTGTAACGTGTGTTCATTCAAGAGAAAATGCAAATTGGAAACGAATTAGGAGAGAAATGAAGTAGTATTGAAAAACTTGTATTATAGGATTCTGCACACCATGCTTCAAACTTTATCATACCCAGAAAAATTATTAAATTTTTGAAAAAGTATTATAGCTGTAATTGATATTGAATAAAAGCATCATCATTTGCAGATAATAGTGTATATAATTTAAAAGCCTAGCATAAGTGTGTGAGGAAAGACAAATATAAGGTAAAATAAGTTAATACAAATTTTTTTATGTTTTAAATCTATTAAATTTAAGGGAAAATATAGTGTTTTTATATGAATCAATTTAAAATTTTATAAAAACATTAAAAA